TAAATCCCATATCGCCGACACTGTTATTTGGTGACTGTGTTGGTTGACTGTGTGCTGAAGCAAACTGCTTATCAATCAATAGGTGAATTATTGTGTGGATGTGAGGTACACTTTGTGCTGGTTTTGGGCTCGTCAGAGGAGTTTAGGAGCAGTGGAAGTTTCCAGTGGTGTAGGAGGGGGGGCTGTGTTTGTTACAGCAGAGGAAGACATACAGTTCACTCTTCTGCAGGTGGAGGGTAAGTGCTTTTGAGCTGCTGGAGAAACCTTCAGAGGGCAGCAGAGCTGGTGCCGACCACACTGCACCCACTGGTTACAGAAGCTGGGAATGTATGAAAGTATTGTTGCAAAATATGAGAAGTTGTAGAATAAAAAGGAACAATTTGTAGAAAAAATGTGAACGTGTACTTTGAAATTTCCACCTGTACATATTCTTCTCTACACACTGCACATGTGTTTTAAATGTAGTTACAGAAAAAAATATTCACAAATGTGTTGATACTTTTGCAACACTGTTTGCGAGGAATGTGTTGCAAAACTTGTAACTGAAGGGTGGTCGGGGTTATAGGGGATTGGGGGCGGAGGGACCGGGAGTGGAGGTCAGCCAATGAGAAGGCAGGAGACAAAGAGGCCTCATTCTCTGCTCTGCCACGCTGGATTTACAACCACATAAGTGAGTAAATCAACATACACAGAAATCCCTCATTCCCTATTAGCAGCGGCAGCAAAAACTGGAGTAAAGACAATTTTAGCTCATTGTAACGGTGCTAAGTAGTTTAAATAAATACCAGTATAAATTACCTGATCAGTGTTCTTCCTTGACATTAGCGTTTGTGCAGTTTTTTGACAGACATTCCGACCACGTTCCAGAAGTGTCTTTAGAATGTCACCATCATCACCTTTCTCAGGTCCATTTGGGATTTAAAGGTAACTTAACTCACTCTAACAATAACAAAAACTTTGCACTGAGTCATTATGTGAAGTATACGAGTAAAATCAGAACACCTGTCCTCTTGAACTCATAATAAGAATTGAAATGAAGAGAAGATATATAGATATGTATCATTCACAACTCTTCAACTTGTGTTTTATTACAATCTTCTTAATCCTTTGACATCTGGATGTGTCCTTTAGGTCAGTGGCTCTCAAACTAGTGGCATGTAAATACATGTGCGTCATCAAGGGTTGAGCTATGGACAAATATTTAAGTCGGTCCACTTCATCAAGAAATGCAAAAGCCAAATCGGCTAACATTAGAACATATGACATACATCAGTTTTTGTGAAGACATGTGTGTGCCAACTAAGACCTTTTGCACATACAACAACAATAAACCGTGGTTCACTCCTAAACTCCAACATCTTCGTAAGGCCAAGGAGGACGCCTACAGGAGTGGTGACAGGGCCCTGTACAAGCAAGCCAGGATCACACTGACCAAAGAGATCAAATCAGCTAAAAGGATATACTCCCAGAAGCTGGAAGAACGGCTCTCAGCCAACAACCCTTCGTCAGTGTGGAGGGGCCTGCAGGAAATCACCAGTTACAGACACCCCCCACCCACTGTTGAAGTAAACAAAGACCTGGCCAACGAGTTAAACACTTTCTACTGCAGGTTTGAGATGGACAGACTCCCACGCCTCACCCTCCGCTCCCCAGAGACATTGCTTCAGACATTGACCACCAACACACCTTCCACCTCTCCCCCCTTCACCCTCCCCATTCCAGACTCAACGACCACCACCACCCTCTCCAATCCAGACTCAACGACCTCCATCACACCTCTCACCCCCCTTTCCTTCTCCCTGAAACTCAGAATACACACTGAGGATGTGAGCCGACTATTTCAGAAACAGAAGCCCAGGAAAGCCCCCGGACCAGACACCTCACCCTCCTGCCTCATAACCTGTGGTGAACAGCTGGCTCCCATCTTTACTCGCATCTTCAACAGATCCCTGGAGCTGTGTGAAATTCCCTCCTGCTTCAAACGCTCCACCATCATCCCTGTTACGATATTACTTCAGGGAGCAGACATGACACCGTCTTAGGTTTTAGCCATCACTTTTTTATT